AGCAGCCCTAGAGTTTGCATTGGGGCTCCCCCCACTTCATCTACTAGTCAAAAAAGAAGCAATGACTTTTATGGCGAAGCTATAGTTGACTAGCAATCAATCAACAAGACTACTCGATAATTCCCTGTTAGGTAGGGAAATGCAAAGAAATGAAGGACTAAATATCACCATATCTGACATTTGCTTACCTAAATTCAACTTTCACCAAAAGTTCCTAATACTAATACCAGACAGAAATGAATGGGAACGGAACATACCTCCATTCGCTGGAGACTACCATCTGTGGTACACGGATGGCTCCAAAACGATGGAAGGAGTGGGGGCGGGAGTATATGGAGTAAGACCTAAAGAGGAAATATTTGCGAGTATGAGTAAAGAAAACTCAGTTTTTCACGCTGAAGTACACGCAATTGAATTATGTCTCAGGGTATATAAAGGTAAACCCGTCACGGGAAAAAACATATATATCTTTTCTGACAGTAAATCGGCACTCCTGGCACTACGCTCACCTCGAGTAACCTCAAAAATAGTGTGGGAATGCCTTCTACTTCTCAAAGACCTTGCTGAAAGGAACAGAGGAAACGAAAAAGCAGATGAACTAGCGAGAAAAGGGGCGGCCTTATACTATATTGGGCCACAACCATTCTGCGGTCCTTCGTGGAGCTTTTTCAAACTTAAAACTAATGAATGGCTGGAAAGAGCAGCTCAGAATGATTGGGATAATACAATTAACTGCAGACAAGCAAAAGAATCCATGCCGTTTCAATCAAAAGCCAGAACTAGGGAGCTACTTATGCTGAACAGAAGTGGCATCCGACTTGTCACAGGTTTTCTAACTGGACACTGCGGAGTTAAAAAACATTTATTGAATCTAGGTATTACTGGAGACGGCAGCTGTAGACTTTGTTACGAAGAAGAGGAAACAGCAGAACACATATTGTGTCACTGTGATAGTCTTGCAAGACTTAGACTTCGCTACTTATCCATTGCCTATCCGCTTATAACGGAAGTAGGCAACATCTCTCCAAAGGACATACTGACATTCTTAACTGCTACTCGTCTATGGAACTGAAGTGGGTATGTCACAATAATCCTCGAGGATGCAGTGACGCGGAGACTACTTCCCAACCCAAAAAAAAAAAAAAAAAAAAAAAAAAACATAGTTCTTTCAAATATTTATTGATTCTCTATTATCAATATCAAGTTCTCTATAGTAACGTGATAATAAAATAAATAATAGATTCCTGTGTGATATAAGCAAAAAATCATAGAAAGATTAAGACTGGTTTGACATTTGAGCTTCGTGACATAACCAGCTTATGTGATTTATTTATTAATAAAAAAGAATTTGGCTTGGATTGAAAAATATCTCTATGTAAATTTTCATTCCATTAATTGTTACCATCACACGTCCAAATAAAACAGATCGATTAATGTTATAAAATCGATCCTTCTTTGGAGGGTAATTAAAAATATGTGATTTTTACTGTAAATATTTGACAAACTCAATATAGAAGATAAGTAAATTTAAAATAATTTTTAAAACTTTTCAGAAATTATTAAAAATTATAATTTATTCCTTTTTTATTATAGAGAGTTACCGTTTTTATCGACTCCAGTACAGTCAATTCAAATAACAGAAGTTTTAAAAAATACGAATGACGCTCATCACACTTCGTTCAAAATTTTTGATCATTTGGTATTAGCACATTCAAAATTTCCGGTTAAAAGTATAGAAAAATTAGAATATATATCCTTTATGGAGGAAATATTAAACGGAATTAAAGAATTGGGATTAAAAAAAATTCTTCGTATTCAGTCATATGCTTGGCCGCATTTATTGCGTGGTAATTCATCACTTATCATTAGTGGCGCCGGGTCAGGTAAAACATTTTGTTACATTCCTGCAATTTGCAATTCAGTTGCTTTTCGCATTATAAACAAAGGAGTTAAAAATAATTCTGGTCCAATTGCAATTATTATGTTATCTAAAGCAGAGGAGATTGAAATCGTCATATATGTATGTGAGTTTTTATTGCAGAAATGTGGCATAAAAAGCAGGTGTGTTGACGCATATGGTGTGAGAAATCTATTGGAAACAAAAATGAAACTTATAAATGGTTGTCCAATATTAGTTGGAACGCCTTCAAGTTTACGACTTATACTTGAAGAGAACAAAACTGTGCCGTTAATTGACGGCGCACGTGTAAAGCATTTCGTAATGGATGATATTGATGTTATGTTAGATACAAAAAAAGATTTTTTAGATGTAAAAAAAAATTTGTTGAAACTATGTAATAAGAAAGAATTGCAAATTGTAGCTACTTCTCGTGTTTGGAAAACAGTTTTTCTTCAATACCTGCAAACTTTTAACGATGCATTATTAATTATTGGAGACTTCTTAGAAGCAGCGATGTATAATCATACAAAAATCAATTTAAAAATTTGCGGAGCTATAAATAAAATTGAAAGAATAACGAAATTTTTGGAGGATAACTCATACGAAAGTCAACGGTCAATAGTTATTTGTAATTGTACGGAAGAAGTGAAACGTGTCCAGGATGCTTTGTTGGCGAATAAAATTTGTTGTTTAGCATATGATTTAGAATCTGATTTTCTAATTCTTAAAAAAAATATATTTTTGGTAATCATTAAATATTTGCATTTTAAAAATCATCTAATTAAGTTATTTTTTTTTTTTTTAGAAATCATGCCCACCAGTATTAATATGTACAGACGATATTCTACACGAGATGCCTGAATTGCAAAATGTAGTAAATCTTGTACATTATTCAATGCCTTCATCATGGACACGTTTTACAAGACGTTTTCTGTTAATGTTGCGAAATGTAAGAAATATATTAGCAGACGATTTTATATGTAAGTCTCGCGAATCTTTGCCTAAGACTGCTTCACTAGTTTTGTTAGATGAAGAAAATGAACTACAATTGCCACGTTTATTCAATTATATCAATAAACATGCCACAAATCAGGCAGATGATATGGCACAAATACAAAAAATGATTGCCGAAATAGTAGAAACTCGCAGAGCGACAAAAGCGTTATGCCCCTTTATGTTAAACACTGAAACCTGTGATCAACCCCGTTGTGATTATCGGCATAAGTTTATGGACTCAGAAATAGTCAGGGATAGTGTGGTCCCTACGACAGGAGAATTACGTATAACAATCCTTAAAGTAAGTAAGCAAATAATACTGCATTTTTATTAATCAAGAATTAATTTTATAGGTAATTTCGCCTACGCATTATATAGCTCAGCTTAACGAATTAAGACCTATAAGCACTTCGGAATGGAATGTGATCCATCAGTCTGATATGGCAGGGCCCTTTCAAAGTAAACTAACTTTACATTATAATATGCAAACGAGATTAAAAGTTAAATGGCCAATAACTATTAATGATATATGTGTTACTGATTTATCTGATGTGTTTTATCGCGTACAAGTAACTCATTTGCCAAACATAAAAAATAAAAATATTTTTACTAATATTTCAGTGACTGTGAAATTTTTAGACATTGGGATAGTATCAACAGTTCAATCTACTTCACTTTTCATTTGTGAAGATGAATTTATTAACTTTCCACCACAAGCTATTGATATACGTTTGTTGGGGGTGCAACCGCATAATGATGAGCGTTTTTGGCATAGAGATATTACGAAATTCGTTACGAATATTTTAATTACGAATAGAGTAAAAACTGATAAAGTCTTTGCAAAGATCAATTTTTCTTCAACTAATTGTATTTGGGTTGACAGTGTTTACGTTCAGGAATACTTGGAAACTACACGAACTTGGATTATTAAGGAAAATTTAAGGAAGTGTTTGGTTGCTAATAACTTTGTTATGACGATACCTGAAAATCAAAGCGATATACGTGCGATTGCCTTGCAATGTGGTTTAATAAAGGAAAAGGCAACAGAAGTCTCTGTAGCTGAAGTCCAAGAAATGGAATTGATAAATACTGCGGATATTAAACAAGAGCAAAATTTACAAGATAATAAATATAAAGACATAAATACTGTCAAAGAAGATATAGAAACCCAAGTTCATAGTAACAATACACAACAAGAACTGCTCTCAAATAATAGTGTATACAATAATTTTGGACTCAAAGATGCTCTAAGCGAGTCGAAGTGTACAGAAAAACAACATTTTGAAGCAAACATTAATGAAAAAGCTATCAATGAATATGATCACTCCCTAGTAGACGAAGATAAGGTGATTTTTAAATAGCAAACACCACAAATTTATAGTAAAATTTCTATATTCAGTGTAAGATTTGGTATATTTGTTCATATATGTTATATATATATCTATGAGATTATAGAATAATACTCTAATTGTGATATAGGATTAAAATAACTTAAGTTTGACTAAGATATAGATCATGACATATCTTTATATATAATATATACATATACATCTTATAAAATGTATTATAATAATAATAATAAAATATAATATATTTTATTACTTGCAAATGTTACTTTCAAATGAAAGTAATAA